TGTGTAATTGATAATTATTCAATAAAATCCTTGCATCTAATGCCATTCTACTATAAAAAAAAAAATAAAATAAAATATACCATATACTGTATATCAAATAATATTATATATTTGTCCTTAGCTATTTTCGGGTGGAATGCAATGTCTGTCCGCACGTGTGTTACGCATTAACCACTACCAGTATGAGACGCGTTTTAAGCACTATTTTTTATTTCCGATATATTGTACCAAGTCAGTTTACACAAAACACTTTTAGGATGCTAGATCAAAGGATTTATGCGTTTGGATATAATGGTTTCGGACAAACCAATCCTGAGACTCGAGACGTTATTATTAGTTCTCCAACCGATATTACAGAAATTACGAATTGTAATAAAATAATTTGGGCCAATATGAATGTAACTTTAGGTGAAATGGTATCTAATTTACGAATAAAGATATTGTAGACTTATATATTCGACCATTAATTAATTGTGAATTATTTTTAATATTTTTATAATTATTTATAGCGAGATATTAATAGTGAAAACAAAAATCCATTGATGTTATGGGGGTTTAATCCAATTTTTAATGAAATAAGTTTGCCAAAACCAACCGAATATCGAAACGTCAAAAAATGTTTTGGTGATGATGACGGTATTCAAGGATTTCTTGACCTTGATGGAAATCTTCATTATATAGATTTAGATTCGGGTCAAATTAATGTAAGCAATTTCCCCATGAAATTTGTTGACATTGCACAATTTTGGACTGGCAAAGATGTTGTGGGTATTACAAGTAAGTAGGATGCATAAATAGGCTTCCTACATTTTCTTTAAAACGTTGGGTTATAATCGGAATATTTCATTTTGAGTGGACGGAAAATTGTTGAAATGGAATCTAAGAGAAAACTTGACTGTTGAAGAAATAATAATGCAATCAAAGTATGGATTAGATGATTATTTTTTCACTAATGTTACATGTGGTGAAAATCATTGTTTGGCGTTAACACAAGATGGAGAGGTATTTAGTTGGGGTTCTGGAAGGTAATAGATTGTTCTTGCAATGAATCTTTAATGAAATGTGGTGCTTGGTATAGTGAATTATAGTATTGATAGTTATCAGATATGGCCAACTAGGTCATGGGGACATATCTTCTTTAGACAAGCCTAAAGTCATAGAATTTTTTCAAGGGCTAAAAATCTCCCAGATTATGTGTGGAGGATGGCATTCCACGGCGATTTCCGGTAAAAGCTAATCTATTTTACGTTTTCTTCACAAGGAGTTTATATTGTTTGACTAAAATAATGTCTAGATTCAGGAGATTTGTATACATTTGGTTATAATCACATGGGCAGATTGGGAATTCCACAGTCAGAAATGAATGCAAACCTTGTAAATTACGCCGAACCCTCATTAATAGAAATTGGCGATGACACTAACGTCTTGAAAGTCACATGTGGAAGCGCGCATACGGCTATTATAACAGGCAAGTTTATTTACACTTTAAATTTGACTTACTTTTAATTCGAATTTCCATCATATAAATTAGATGATTATCGTCTCTGGACTTGCGGATGGGGTGAGTTATAATTACCTTTATTTAGATCTTTGAAATTGCATCTACAAATATGGTTTATATTTGCATAGGTAAATACGGACAACAAGGCCAAGCATTCGGAAAACTATCGGATAAATTTTTCTTTAGCCCTGTGTTGGGAGATTCGAATAGTGACGGGATAAAAATTATAGATTGTTACTGTGGTAGATGGAATACCTTTGCTATAGTAGTATTGTAACTATTTACAAAAGATTATTGTTGATAAAATGATGTCAAGTTTTAAAACTTTGGAATTTATAGTTTCCAAAGTAACAAGATGAATAAATGTTTGATTCTTTATGTTTCTTTTTTTAATAAAGTCATTTATTTGAAGCTTTTTTTTTTAAAACAACATTTATTATTTAAATATTATTTGAAAAAATAAAATCGAATTTATAAGTTTGTTTTTTCATAATCAATTAAGTATAAATGTTTATTTAATCTTAAAAAAAATTTTTTTAAACTTGTTTAAATATATCTTTTATAGATATAATTTTAAAGACAAAAAATTATTTTCTTTATTTTATTATAAATAAGAATTTGAAATATAGTTTACAATTTATGACTATATATATATATATATATATATTTTCCATAATTAAACAAGTATTTATTATGTTTATTTAATCTTTTGTAAGAAGATATAATTGTACATTTGACTATTATACATAAACTAACTACTTATACTTGAATACCCGTTTTAGGTAATTAACCTCTAGATATGATCTTGGAGATAAATAAAGTTGCTCCCTCTTGTTTCCCATTTCTAAGGAAACTCAAGTTCATAGCTTGCAGTTTATCACTACAGTTCACCTTGACAAAATCTTGATTACTTCATATTCCTAATCACTTTTTTTCTTTCTTTATTTTGTTTCATAATACTTTCATAAGTCCTGGTATATGGCTTTGACTGACTGTTACTGTCGATAAGGTTGCTGCTGTTTTCGAGCTTAAGGGATCCTGTTGAAGTGTCTTTTTCTTTTCATAAGAGTTTTGTATATCAATGGATCTATGTCTGAATTTGGTTATCTCCTTTCCTCAGAAAGCTCTTTTTGCACTCTTGAATCTTTTCATATCTTGGATTCCAGATCAGATGTTTTATCTTTTTACATTAGAAGTTAAAGAGTTTGTTAAGAATTCTCCTGAATATAACCTTGAGAATCTTTAGTGACTAAAGAGTATTGGTTCATTCTTTAATATCTTCTTTTGCCTAGAGACCAATAGATGTGTTAATTATTTTTTTAGCTAAGTCAAATTTTTCAACTTCCCATTTGCTAAAGAGTGCTTTTATTGCTGTATACTTTCCGTCCATCTTTTTGTCTATGTGTTGTGGGATCCATACTTTTGTAAGTTTCTCTTAAGCCTGATCCCATATGTTCTTCTTGAGTTCTTATGTTTCTTTACATGTTAGCAGATGGTTCAAGATTTCTTCTTGAAGATGACAGAGCACACACAGACTATTGGGTATTTCTAGAACATTTCTCTTGATCAGATTGTCCATGGTTGGAAGTTTATCATAAATTAGTTTGGCCTTGAATGTTTTGCTTCCTGCTGCTTTGAAAGAGGTGATAAGGAATCTTTTGTTTTTATTAAGGTCCCATAGGCCTTTCCAGTCGAACTTTTTTGGATTCTGAATTCTTCCTTCCATCTTTGCTAAATATAATTTTGTAATATTCATTGCATCAGGATTTCTCTTTTATTATAATCCTTAAAAAATGCCCTAGTTGAGATATCGATAAGAATCTTATTCCATTTTGGCACTGTGATAGGAACTATTTTAGATAGGAGCCTTTATCGAATTTCTGGTTCTTTCTTGATCCTTTTAGCCAGCTGGTCTACTTGATTGTTATGAGGGTCTTTACTATGAGCTTTAACTTTGGTAAGCTTTAGGTATAACTTTTTCTTGAATATTATATTAGCCAATCTTGTCCAGAGTTGCTAGTTTGGTTTTTTCATTTGGTTTTTTCATGTTTCTTTGGGATGTGGCTTAATTATAGTTGAGTAGATATTTATACAGGAGGAGCTATCTGTCTTTATTTCTATAGTACTACTAATTGGAACTGAAAGGATTGTTAAAAGAATCACTACCAGTTCTACTTTAGTCGATGAAGGTCAATTATTTACTGCTGCTTGAAATATTCTTCTGGGATTAGGACCCTCAGTTTGTATCCAAGCTGCATTTATTCTTAGGGATCAGTCTTGTGCATGTCCTAGGGATCTATCAGTATAAAATTAATATGAGCCTGTATAGTTTTGGATTGCATTTAGGTGGTATTCTTCACTTAGCAGAATACAAAGATCTCTATTCAGTATATTGTCTTGTATAATTTGTTTGCTATAGTCTTCAATCTTTACAAATTGAAATTCTACCTTGGATATATCTTGCAGATATATCTTTTCCATCTTAGCCTTGACCAAGTTTTCTGGTGTATGAATCTTAATAGGGATAATTGGTTTCTTATTTCTTCTATGTTTTTTTATATTATTGATCTAGGCAAATGTGAGTGAATAATTTCCTCTACTATTTTTATGCTCTGATTGTATCCTGATGAATTCTATTGATTCTAAAAGTCTACTAGAGCAGATTTGATAGTGTTCTATCTCTCTGCTATTATTTGCTAATGTACCTTTACTTCTAGTTCAGTAGAGCTCTTTGTTAACATTATTCATACTTACTTGCCAATTTCATTTTCTTGGGTCAGCTGGCTTTTCTATCATGAAGAGTAACCTATCTTGTGTTGTCTAGTCATATCTAGTCCAGGTTGTTTTTAGTACTTCAAATTCATTTGCCAGCACCTGTTTTATTACTTGAAACCAGCTGGAAACTGGGTCCCATCCATGACCTTGAGGATCTTAAATTAGTTTCCAATTTAGTAACATATTGGATTTCTTTTCTATGAGCTGGTCTACAAATATAATATTGTGTTTTCTTAATGAAATCACTGCTTTGTTATATGTTCTGAGATCATTCAACAGAGTTTTAATTGTGATGTGTCCTTCATTCCATTGAAATATATCTTTTTGTTGCAAGTTTGAAAAGGTAATATCCAGTTTGTTGGCCATTTTAAGTGTCTGGGCTGAGAAGTTTTTCTTGTAGGAATTGTGGAAGGTATTGTCTGAAAACATATTTGCTGATTTCCAATGTTTTATTTATGCTTGTTTAAGGCAAATGAGGGTCGATATACCAGCATAATCTATATTGTTAAGATAGTTTGTCAAGCTGGTGATTTGGCTTTCTATTTGAATTTCGTGAATGCTTTTGAATTTATAGAAGGCCTTGTGATGTATGAATTGTTTGATATTGTTCTAGTAATCCTGACTACTTGTTTGAATATTTTCCTAAATTGGGCTGAGAGGAGGTTACTTGAGAGTATACTTATTGAACTATGCTGCATTCTGTACTCAATTCTTGAAATTAGGACTCTGTTAATTATATACTTCATGTATCTGTCTGTGATCAATATTTTCTCCAAGTTTGACAAGACTGCTTATATCTCTTGTTAAATTCTGAGGATTGTGTCTTTGGTCTGGTTTTTGTTACCTAGCCAGATGCCCAAGAATCTTGCATGACTTCCGTGATCTAGTTCTCTAATCTCTTATTGATTAGATCCAATATAGACTTTGTTGGATTCTTTGGATGGGCTGTTAATTGTAATTAGTATTGATTTGTCTCCATTGATCTGCGAGTCATTTGTTATATAGAACTCTTTAGCTCTTTCCAGAATATATTTCATGTCTTTTTGAAATCTAGCTATCCATGTAGTATCATCCATATAGGCTATCACTGCTTGTCTAATTGACAGTTTCCTTGACGCCTCTAGGTCTCTTGCTGATTTGCTAAAATCTGTCATCCATAAACAATTCATTGAACAGTCTACTCTTTAATTTTCTTGAATTTCATATAGGAGAGGATCATAGAAGATTCTTCAAAACAGTGGTAATATAGTCTCTCCTTAATCTATGCCATCACCTGCTATTATTTCTTTGGTAAGGCTAACATCTGTAATTATCTTGATTGTCCTTTGTGTGAAGGGGTTCAACAATAATTTAACAATTTTATATGAAACTTTGATTCTTTAAAGTGTCCTTTTTAACATTTCTAGGCTAACAGTATCATATGCTTTGGCTGTGTCTTGGAAGAGTATCCAAAGTTCCTTATTCTCCTCTTTGGCTTCTTTACAGATATTATTTAGCAGATGTATTGGTTCTGAGGTACTTTTACCTAACAGTCCTGTAAAGTTAAGCCTCTTTAAGATTTTGTACTTTTTATAGATAAGTACTAGACGATTGTTAAGAATTTTAATGAAACATTTATGTGTTGTTTCTAGAAGGATTATAGATCTGATATTACTTAGTTCCCCTTGCCATTCTTTTCCTTTGAAGATTGGATACAAGAGACTGTTTTTCCAGGTCAATGGTATTATTCCAGAGCTGAGAAAAAGATTGAAGAGGTTAAGGAGAGTCTTTTTTGCTTTGGGGCCTAGTTTTTTTAAACATTTCGTATTTTATTTTCGATGGTCCTGCAGTTTTGTTGTTGGGCAAGTCAAGAAGAACTTTTTCCAATTCACTTGGCTGGATTTCTTTTTCCATGGTGTTGTATCATTCTTTTTGAATTTCCAGTTTGGATTTATATTGTTTCTTTCACTAATTGTCAAGGAGATCGAAGTTGCTGCTGTGCTTGCGAAATATCTGTTGATAGTAAAGCCTTGTCTGGTTCAAGATCTTTTTTTTATCAATAGTAATATATTCATGATTGTTTTCATCTACTATTTTAATCCTATCAATCATAATTTTGTCTCTAAACTTGTTTGTTAATGTTTGGACTATTCTCCTTTGATTGTCTTTGAGGTCTTGATATCTGGCCTCAATTGCTTTTTGGATTTTCTGGTTGACCCTTTTTTTTTCTTCTTGTATACAAATCTTCTTGAAGATTATTATAAGAATATGTGTTTGCTTGATAATTAATGCTAAGTCCTTGTTAATTACATTTGTATTGAGAGTTTTAACTTTGGTAAGAGCTTGGGAGTTGTCTAATAGTGTGTCTGAGGCTTTAGATATCCACTTATTTAGTTGGTGTATTATAAGAGAAAACAAAAGTCTCGATGGCTCTGTTCTTAGTTTTTTTTGAATATTGTATAGATCTTTATATATTCTAGTTAATTTT